GCAATGGAAACTCTAGAGTTTGCTTGTATATGGAGCGGGTTTTTCTCTTCCATTTTCTTTGTTTTATTGAAAGTGTAATTGGCTCGTTAGTTCTGTAGAAATTGCAGTATGCAAAACCAGTTGGACGTGACACTTTTGTGGGTGTCGGCCACAAAGATATAATGATATGGAACATTCAAACGAAGGAAATCGTTTTCTGTGAGTATGATCTTAGGATATGCTTTCGCTACGCTTATTCGACAATGTAATCTTCACAACTTTCAGAGGAGATAAAAAATGAGGTTTCCTTCAATGGAATTGTTTTTGAAAATCTAAGAAGAGATATGCTTACATCAGCATTTTTAATTCCTTTTTCTTCTTTTTCGAGGGATGACTTTTGGCCGATTGACAGAATCACACGTAAATTCGATGCAAATCTGTGTTGTTATTGCACAATCTCGGCTGTCTCCTTCTTTGGGTAATGGAATAATTATTAGTACGTTGCAAAATCTGTTGGTCACTCTTTCTTTTCCCAGTCACATTGCATAATCTGTTTAGTTTCGCAAGATTTCTTCCCCTGCATCTTTTGAATAGTTGATTTTAATATTAATCTCAGCCGTACTCCAATTTTTCAATGGTGTTGGTCGCCCAATGCATTTCTTCTATCTCTGGTTCTTTTTCGTATCATCTATATTTATCACACTCTATTTGTAAGGATTCTCATATAACTTTTTCAGGTATTCTTCCCATCTTTTCTCGTGATCTCTTCTTTTGGTGTATTTATTTTGTCGTTTTTAACATTCCGCCATGTTGGTTTACACTCCATGGTCATATTTCGGGATGACCTGGCAAATTTCTTAAGATCTCCATTTTGTTATGGTTCTTCCATTCTCGCTTTTTGCTTGAATAAGACTTTATTATTATCATATCTTGGTCTTGCTGGAATACCCTAAGAATCTTTCTGACTTTCGTCTGGTCATCTTGCTTTCTTTGCAAAGAAAAATAATGTTTAAAAAGAAAGAAATATGAAGGATCTCGTTGTACAGAGTACATAATTAATAATATAATAATATATAATAAATTAAATAATTAAAATATAATTAATAATAATAGGCACCGTTTTGCGGGAGGTACCAGAAACAAAGTATGTATAGCTATAGTATTGCTTATATTGTATTATAATCCATCGAATCACCACTTGGATGTCTGAGCAGTTTCCGATGTTGTGAAACTGTGTGTGTTATTACAGAGAAGAAATTCTTGAATCGTTTCTCTGCGGTCTGATTCATGTTTCTGTGTCCATGTGATGAAAACACTATTGAGCAGGTTGTTTGCTCGCGATGCATCGGGTGGTTCTTCTTTTCAATCGCCAACCTGCCCGCAAAGGACTAGGGCAGGGATTTAGAACACGAACGAGCCTGACTCGGGTAAAGTGGCCGTGGGGGGGTGCCGGGATTTCCACAGTCCATATGGCACTGAGCAGTGCGTTTTGGCAAATAGGCAACGTGAAGAATGCTCACAACCAAGTTCCACTGATCGGCTCGCTTACTCGGTTGCCGCTTCTCCGCTTTACACTTCCTGCCCACGTTCACTTGTCTACTTGCGTCCGTTATTTCACGTGCCACTCATTCTTGAAGTTGAGAGCTTACATCGTTGGGAGGCTGAGGGAATGCGCTCCGTGTGTTTCGGACTCCCCCGCCTAATCGCACCTAACCATAGCATGTCCAAATTATTATTTACGCCCAATGTAACAAGTAATTTTTTTTTTTTACAATTAAAAACTATATGCGAGACATAAGGAAAACAAAAAAGCAAGAAAAGTGAATGATCAATGTGGACTTTTTTTATTCTTCACACAATATTGGACTTTTCTACCGGGAATCACTAAAGGTTGCCGCCGGCTTCAAACCCTTCTTTTTTAACTGATGTCACAGTTTGATACGTTCAGTATAATTTACTACCCAAAATTGTTGTTAGGCAGCCGTGGTAGAGAAGGCCCGAATTCTTCTCTTCGTCACATTTCTTATACGTGGACATATATAAGTTTCCCCTAGCTTCACTGTGTATTGTTGGAACTTTAAACTACGAACATACTGGTTCTCCACCAAAAGTCACAAACCAAATAAAATAACTTTGCTATTACACTTGTACTGAACAAGAAGCAAAAAACATGTCACTCATTGCGAATTCATGTCTTCTCAGAAGAAGAAACCATTCTATATTAGATGAGTGAGTGTATTGAAACCTCATAACAATGCAGATTATACGTATTTCCTCAGCCTGCTCGCGTATGCGGTAAATTGCAAAACGTTAAACCACTTACACCTTACACCATAAGTACCAAGAAATTAAAAATTATAATTACTTTTTAGTTTACGAGATAAAACTTTCCCCAGTGTTTACCGTAATGTTGTAGCTCGCGTCCTGAAAATTCAAGTCCCCCTCACGATATCGTTACGCCTCTCTCCCTGAAGCGTTTTGCCGTGAGAGACGCCAGATCTGTGCGGATCTGCGGTTCGCTTCCGCATGACATACGAGGGTCGTGTTATTGCCTTCCGCTTACCGGAGTTAGAAGCGTGTGTCACAAGCAGGGCGGATCCAGCCGTATTATTTTTCTCGGGAAGGTAGGGTATTTTTTGTAAATAATAAGTGTTTGTTATTATACTTGTATTATGATTTAGGATTCACCAGCATGAACTCATTAAAGCAATGGTAAAGCGTCGTTTTGAGATCAAAAATCGAGCTGTAGGTAAAATTAAAAAGCCTCCGTGCGTATACTTCCGCTCATACTTTCCGGTATTTGAACACAGGACGATCTTATGAGCAAGGTGGAATTTAAAGAAACCTTAAGAACTAAAAGTATATCTCAATAAAATAATATATATATATATATATATATATATATATATATATATATATATATATATATATTAGCTATGTAATTCCTAAACGAATCGCTTTTGGGCCTCAAAGTCTGAGATATAGAAAAAAAATCCTCTGACACATGATGTAACCAGAACCCATGTTTTGTGCGCTCTTCACACCGAAAAATCGATTGACGGCAAAACGTCCGTCCGTCTGTGCACAACGCTAGCGCATAAACCATTCAGCCAATTTTCTCAAAGAGTATTTCCCTATCATTCTAGCTGATGTCACTGACCCTGGAATTTGAAACTTATATTTTATATTGATTCTTTACATAGCTCCAAAATTCGGGTAGTGTTGCAGGAATGAATCACAAGGCGAGACATTCTATTGCGCCAACCACCAGAACTCATTTTAAAAAACTGATAGTTGACTATGTTAGTTTCATGAAGCAATGCGATCACGTATTATACAAATGTTTTCTCCCCATTCGTTAAAATTAATGGAGGCACGAACATAGTCCGATAGTGATTTATTCATGTAGAAATGATTAGAGCATTATTTAATTAAATTATTACGTTCTCGCTCCCCCCGTCTGAAAACTTCGCGCCCCTGTTCGCCCTGCGCCTCACATTCTAATAACACTGTTATATACCGTTTAATATCATCTGATCCCTAAAAATATTTACTGTGTATTGAAAAAAACGATGAAACTATCAAAACTGTTATCTTACGACGAAAGACAACTCACGAATGGGAAACCAGAATTTTCGTAATTATTTTGATGTAATTTGCATGTAGTGTAATAACTCTATTGATATTAGCCAAGCGAATGCACATTGTACTGACAACCCTCCGAAAGCAACAGTGTGTTGCTCGCTTCTTGGTTAAATTGGGATGTATTCAAATAATAAACCCTGAGGTGCTAGTAGCGCAGAAAAGGCAATATTTCAATATTACGTAGCAGTTTCCAATAACGCGAGAAAGTATGTGCAGTTGTAGGACTACTTCTTTGATGATCCAGCGCTTATCGATACTGCCCAGTACCACCTGAATAAGGCCAGCTGAGTCACGATTACAAGGCTTAGATTCCTCCATCTCATGTTTAGACTTTCTGTGTTCACCGTAGTTCGCGCCGACTGACGAAGCTCATCTGTATAATTATTAATCCAAGATTCGTGCTCGTAGCAGCTTAATTAATTATTAATAGTGGTTTGAAACCAATGAATATTGTTTTAATGTGTGTAGATCATTTTCCGTTTCTGCAAGGGAAATTTACCCAATTGAAGAAGGAACTACGATCGAAATGAACCACGTTTCCATGTTTCATTTTCACGATACCGTTAGGAAAAAATGGATCTCTGCTATTGATCGGTAGGATTTCGTTCCCACACAGCACACTAAAATAAAATATTGACATTCTTGATTCTGTGAAAATTTTGCGACATCACCTACATTACCCATGCACTTGGAATGGTATCACACCATATGTATCTACTAAACGTTTGTATTACTCTTATACAAAATCTGTCGTTTTTTATTGCTCATCCCTCAAATTTCAAACTCCTCTAATTTAAGTCAATATACTTTTATAAGCAAGACAGTTCAAGAGGGAAATTAATATTTTTGAAAACATGAATCACAAATGAAATTTGATGAAAGTGTAGGCCCATATTTCTTTCATAATATTGTTTCTGATGTGGTTGATTTTAATGACATAACATACGCCATTTAAACGAAATCAGTGCTATACGTTGTTTATCCTGAATGAGACGAATACAATACAAACTACTGTCAAAAGATATAAAAATTAGGATATATAAAACTCATATCAGTTAATTATCATTAATTTTATCTCCAATAATTATATTTTCCACGGAATAGCTAACACTGGTCCTTCAGTATCAAATAACAGACCACTTTAAGATTCCTTTCTAAGTTGACCATTGTTTGTAGAAATCTAGTTGTATATACTGTATTAATCTAGTAATTTATTAATGCATCATTAACTGTATTAATGAGATATTCTGAAAAAAATGGGAGGCGGGGAGTACATGGCCATAAACCTGTGGGCAAGCGAGTCTTCCCTAAAGCACATGAACTCATTTGCGGTCTAGCAACATTTCAGAATAGCACAGTACAACCTTCTCTTCAACTGTCTCTACAAGTCACAGAAACCTTTATTGTACAAGATACATTCTGGGAGTAAATGATAAGTTTCTATGAATGCAACGGGGTTTCTATTGGATTATTCTCAAATAACAAAAATATTTTGAGAATTGATGACCATTTAAAATTATCCATGCAAAGAAAAACAAAGACAAGTAATATCAGGAATTTTTTCTTTGTAAGTTATAACACAATTACAACATGTAATGTACAGACAGCAGCTATTTTATGATCTAACACAAGATATCATTAAATTATCATATACAACATTATGAAGAAAAGCAAAATTGCGCATGTGCATGGCACAATGAATATTTCAGAAAACACTTAATCTCTTGCCACAAGAAATGTTTTAGTGTAAAAAATTCTTTTCAGATATACTGATATGTATGTACACACTGTTCACAATTTGTTCATTTTGTGTACCTTGTTGAGTACAATTTCATTCTCTTCCACACTACAGCATACAACCATTTCCACCTTAGGACAACAAATACTCTTGGACTACTTTAGGCACATCATGTGATAAATATTTAACACAAATATTGAATTAACAGTAAATAGACTAAAAATTAATTTACTATTATTATAGCAAAAAATACATCACAATGAAATATCAACATAATATTCTAATGAAATAAATACTTATGTAATATATAATTGTAATGTTTGATGGCAGTAAATCTTAGGTAAATCACAAGGAGATATATTGTGACGTATATTATATATATATATATATATATATATATATATATATATATATACATATATATATACATATATATATACATATATATATATATATTTGCAGTTAGAGCTCTTCAAGAGCAACTTTCACAGAGCAGTTATATGCACAGTTATATCACTTGCACCAAACTTAGAACATTCATTATTTTAATAATTTGTATATTATTTTTTTCATCCTATCAACTCAGCTGAAGCCATTACCTACCTGCATTAGAATATTTGTCAGTTCTTAAGGCAATGGTTTTAGATGAATTAACAAAATTAGTCAGAAAGAAAAGTGCATTGATCAAGGAAAAGACATGTTCTTATATGGCATTAACTGTTATGCTGAAAATCAAGCAAGTAATTTCAAAAACAAAATACTTTTATTACAAAAAGTGATGCATTAATAAATATTGACATGAAATTGGTAATAATCACAATCCGTCAATGCAGAGCATTCAATAAGTCATGCATTCTGAAATATAGAAAATTTAATCACTTTCTTGTGAAGAACGAACATATTGTAAAGAGTATTGAAAACTATTAAAGAAATTGCATTAAATGGCCTGCAGTTACTTTGCATCCACTTCAAACAAATTGGTAAAATTTGCGGAAACAAGGATCATATCTCAAATTCATGTTTCTTTCTAGAATAATGAATGTGAAAAGATAATGAATTAGGTATTGCAAAATGAAAATTAAGAGTTTGAAAATTTAACTTCTCATTTTAAACGCATTGAATGTTCTTTATATTAGATCAATTTAACTTAATGTGCAGTAGCACCATGGTACTACAAAACTCGCATGGCATCACTGTGATATTTGAACATACAGTGCTTTGCAACATTACTCAGAAAGACCATGACTAGCTAGGTTATGTTTAATTGATCCTATGAGCATCACTGAATCAGACACGAGATAAAATGTCAATTAATTTCCTTATGTGAAATAAGTCACATGGTATGAGTAATACCTAATTTTATCTTACTCTTTCTTATACAATAAATATAACTTTCCTATTGAGTAAAAGGAAACAATGATCCAAGTGCAATAAGAATAATATCACAAAAAATATTACATTTTTATGTGCACACAATGAAGACAGTATCGAAGGATTCTTATCACTGGCACTCTATAAAATAAATAAATAACGGATAAACAATTAATGAAAAATAAATTATCTCTTCATGGTAACTAACCCCTCAAATGATGGCAGTCCCTGAATAAATCTATAAAAATTGAACTATATTTGAATCAAATACAAGAATAAAAAGCATTCTTCCCAGTGCATTAAATTATCTAAGTTTAATTTGAGCACATCACCAAAATTAATTGCACTAGGTATAAAAGATTAAACATGTTACAAAGAGTGACTTTGTAACAACTGAAAAACAATGAAAAAGAAAAACGAGGTGGATTTACACAAGCAGAATTTTTGTTAGATCCCTCTTATCCAATTTCTACAACCACACCACGAGAAAAACAAAGTACTCAGCAAAGCGCACAAAATAAATATATATGCTACAAAGGAATATACATATATTTCTTTTTCACAAACCAATCTAAAATCATTTTTGTTATTTACACAATATTACAAGATGTTATTGCGTTCCTAGATGCCAAAGACAGCACATTAATTCAAAGAAGCAAGCAATACATGACTGCTTCAATGTCTACATACAGCAGAGAGAAATGTTCAGAGTAAGTATGAAATTGCATCAGCCAATTCAATGATAACTACAAGAACATTAGTGGGAAACCATTAGTATACAGAGACAGAAAAATGTATCCTGGTCATACTTCTAGTACATTTACAGGGGCTTCTCATTTTGTGTTTTACTCTGCTAAAAAGTGTCATAAACCTGTTCCTGTTAATAGGCTGGTCAATCTATGAACATCAGCTAAAGCTTGGATACGAAAGGACAATGGAACACAACACAGATCAGATCATAGATAAACATTTTCAAGAGTTCAGGAAGATGTGTCTGTACCTACATACCCTACAGGGTCTTTGGCACTTTAAGGACAACAGGTTCCCAATTCCATAGAACAGAATCACAAGTTCAATTCACAGGCTTCACAGGAGTAAAATGACATTTATAACAAACCCCTGTGATTTGGTGAGCAGCAGGTAACTCCTGATTCACACACACACTTTTCCACTTTTCATACATTTCCCATTTGAGAATTAAGCACAAGCTTTAGGCAGTGTCTTTAGGTAAGAAGAAAATATAAATAAGAGATGCCTTTCCTGTAAGGTATAAACTGGAGATGCAAATTAGACTAACAAGTGTGCTAACATATTAATGAATATGCACATGAATAGCATGTACTACATGCCAACTCATCTGTCCACCTCTGAATTACTTTCTAATTTCAAGCTAGAGTAAGAATTAAACTAGCAACAAACAGCAATAAGTTATTGCAAATCCTATTTCATGTGTCTCGGTAGTGCCCACAGAGAAATCCAATTCGATATTCAGTTACTAAGCTGACTCAAATGACAAAACGTAGGAATTGCGAAGGACGCGTAGTATATGATAAACAAGCCTTGGGATTGAGTAAACTGTCAAGAAATTTACTCCATGTTTAAAAAAACATGCATTAGCTAGTAAACAAAGAAACAAGACAATGTATATACAATAAACGGATCTGCTGAGATTCTACAGAAGTATTAAATCAAGTTGCACCTTTCTCACTGGGACAAGATATCGTTAGGATGCAATGGAAGCTCCAGCAACATTCATTAAGGGAAACTTGGCACATGAATGAACAAGCTCCATCCAAACTTTACCATGTTTCATCACAACATATATAGTCCAGCTCAGTGCTGCTGTGTTTCAAATAATGTCTGACTAATAATGGAGGTAGAAAATCACCAGGATATAAAAATATAAACTCTAGGAGATGGACCATACAAGGCCACACCCCCATAATGGGGGTCATATGCATGTTTCCAACATGCAGAGCGGGGATTCTCAGAAACTCTCAACAAAACTTGCTGGAAATAGACCAGTGCGGCCAGTACGCTGTTGTGTACCCTTGTACCAACCATCATCTCGTTTTCTATGCACATAAATAATATCACCTACACGTAATTCCAACTCATGTTCACTCATTGGTGGATATGGCACAATGCAGCGAAATCTGAAACACATGAAAAGCAAATATATATTCATAGTAGTAGGTAATCTTCAAAAACAGTAGATAAACTGATGGACATTATCTCTTAGTTTCCTATTAATGAACCCTAATCTTATGTCAATGCATTGAAAAGTAGGCATGACCCACCTTTCTCGGACTGGAGGAACCAATTGTTTACTGACTTTTCTAACTATATCCCCACTTCCTGCATCCAAGGAGTTTGATTTACGGTGATTGGCAGCACTACTGCAAGCAACTGGACCTGGATCTCCCGTCCTGCCAAAACAAATACACTCAATTAACTTGAGGTGAATTTATGATAACACTAATTAACTGTTGTACCTTCATTCAAACTGCAAAACATGCCCCTATATGGACTGCAAAATGCACAGGGTGGTGTTGTAAGTAATGTAGTTCAAACCCCAGAGAAACACTCGCTCCCCAAGAGCAATATCCACCATTCTGTTTAAACAAAACCATGCATATCATGCTCCATGATTGCACACAAACATTTACAGAAAATACAAAGACAATGTGATGACTGGTCTTGGCTCAAGTGTTGATGAGGAACTTGTTCCTGATGGTTCTCCCGATAAGAGAAGAAAGGAAGAGGAGATAGAGGATGCAAAAGGCAGGTGGTAAAAGGGCAAACAGCGAGTGCAGGCTGCACAGGGTGGACCCACCTTCCAAAGTGAGCCAGGTTAGCCATCACTACATTGGGGCGGTCTTTGTGTTTCAGTCTCTGGGAGCCGGAACCAAAGAGGCGGTGGTGTGCGGAGCTAGCGTCTAGTGGCAGAGCTTGGAGGAGCTGACTGGGGCAGGAACCCGACCTGGCAGACACGGCACAGAGCAGAAAGGGTCAGGCGGCAGCCAGCTCGCAATTCATCAGTGCTAGTGCTCATGCAGGCAAGCAGACACGCACACACACACACACAAACAAACAAATAAACAAACATTGAACAACATAGTGCAACATTCACAAAAGCAACACTTATAAAACACGTGCAATGGCAGTGCAGTGGCTCAACAGTGCAGAGCACAGTCGCTGCTCAATGCACCCACCCAAGCCATAGGTCTGCACTGCAGGCAGAAAGCAGCAGTGTTGTTAAGAACACAAGATGCAGAACAAGAGAACTTACTAACTGGGATTAATTTTGGTTTTAACATTATTGCCAATGTTTCAGTCACAACAGATGATCTTCACATGCTGCACTACTTATGTTTTAGGAACATTCCATTCGTATTGCGACTCATTTTCCTTCTCATTTATGCTTCTGAATCTCGTTTTAGACGACAATAATAATGGTAAAGTCTCCCAGGTAGTTTTCTCAGCTTCCTATGCTGGCTGTAGAAAATATTTCTATACAGCACAGTACCTTATTTATAAATTCTCATAAGCATATGATACAAATGATCATATGCTTCATATTAATTACAATATATAATATATACAGTGATTAATGGTTATAAATAATTTTTCTCATAAAACAGAGACTAAAGTTCACTTAAAAACCATTTTTTATTTGCAAACATAGCAAAAATTTTGTGAGACACCGTATCATATATTATGTTTTTTTATTCTAATGTCTTGGAAATTATTTTCACTTTTAAAAAAAGTTCCAAAATGGTGGAGGACATTAATGATACTCTTTATCATAAACTTTTCTTTCTTTTATGATGGAAACTAAAGCCACATAAACAACATTGCTGCTTACTAAATTACTTGAGTGATAATAAACACTCACTAATCTGCAAAGTCAATGATAAAAGCCAGAGTGCCTTACGGCAGGTTATATACAAAGAAATATTTACAGTTTGTAGAACGTGAAAAAACACAATCTCCAACATAATACTGTGGACATACACATTTATACACACAAGCTTTAAAAATTACCGCCACTAAGTAATGAGGTAATTTCAACAAAAGATTACAGTTCAGAGAGAGAAATGTAATAGTACAATACTTGTATTTACAAAACAAATTTTGGTTTTAACGATGTGGAAAAAATCACAATCATGAACATTATAAGAAAATATCTACAAAATTAAGGACAGAAATACAAGTACAGTGAAAACCCATTTTGTCCTGTGATTTACGTTTTTGTAACAATCTAGGTCATTTTCTGTAGGTTGCATTAGAAGCCCTACCTTTAAATTTCATTCACAATGTTAATAACTTGATACAAAGAATACTTCTCATAACATTCTTTTAATTTTGTTCGTAACAATAATGATTTTTAAACTGATTTTGGATGAAATATTTGCATGTAGTTGTTTGCGGGTCCATTAGCTTCCAGTCTATTCCAATCTGCAATGTCAGCAGCATCACCACATGTCCTGCATGTTCCACTGAAACGTGGAGGACCATTGATGATTTATTTGAATTATTGTAGTGACTGGTAGTAATGGATTCAAACAAAGATGACTGATGGTAATAGCTTCAACCTGTGGTGACTGCTGATTACTGAAGGTTCCTGGAGGTGATGTAGAGAAAACGAAAAGAAAACATTTCTGTGGGGGGGAAAAGATGGAGATGTGTCAATTCACACTTGGTAATACATGTTTGATGAGCAAAGGAACTGTAAATGTTCATTTCCACGCTAAATACTATAATCAAAAACAGGCACTGAAGTTACTGCAAAAAAGAGACTGATGCAATGCCAAGGAAGAGGATTTATATATAGACATCAAACTACAATGAAGTTGGATTCATTTATTGTGGAGTGGTTTATTTCCGTGACAAGAACATCAGCTATTGCAGTTTCAAGTTTGAAACTTGGAGAGAAAGCCCACTAATTGGCTGCAAAGTTGGGAAATGCAGGCTTTACAACTTCAAATGGATTGACTGGTAACTTTAAGACCTGTTAGGGTATGTGTATCAAAGGGTTGTCAAAGAGTTGATGGGGTAACCCTTCACCACAGTGAATTGAACCCAAGGATCGAAGGAGATTAACGAAAAAATTATTTTCAATGATGACAAAACAGAGTTTTTTTGTAACAACATTCTGTCCAGAAAAACATTGGGTTTAAAAAAGGGGAAGGAGCCATGATGAGGAACTCAGTAAACAGAGCCAAAAGTTTTAAAAATTTAAAAAAAATGCCAATAAAATATGAATTCTACAGCAATGCATGGATGACCAGCAGCATCTTCTCCTGCATCATGTGTTCTCGATGCAAAATGTAGCTCAAAATAGGAATATTCTATTACTACTTGTCAGATATCCTGCACACCTATAGATTTGCGGTTCAGAAACATAAAAATAGCATTCTTTCCTCCTAATTGTACAAGTTTACTTCAACCCATTAATTTGGACATTGTATATTACTTTAAATGACAATAATACTGGAATACTGTAATAAACCAATAGAAACAGGCTAAAGAGCCTAATTTCTGGTCAGTTCATGATGATGATAATGATGATGATATTCCTATAATGAAAATAAAGAAAAATGGATGTTGAAAAGCTGTACTTATGCAAAATAATGGTGTGATCTCTAAACAAATGAACACATCAATTCTTCAAGCTATGCATTCTGCAATACAACATGGTTGACAGGGACCCAGCAATGTTGAACGACTTAAAAAAAGGCAGGAATTAAGTTATTGGATGAGAGGAACTTAATGAAGATTATCTCTCACCACCTAATTACTTGTCTCTGTTGGATAAATCTTCATTTTGGGAGTATGTTCATGTTGATGCTGGTGCCATCACATCAAGCATGAGGAAGCTTTAGTATTCTGTAGACTGGGGAGTGGAAGAAGTAGGGCTGCAGGAAGGATGGAAGCAGATGACTATTTTAGATTTTTTTAAATACTCATAGTTTAATTGGATAGTGAGTAATTCATAAGTGAATGAGCCCAGGAATAAATTATGTAAGTACTGTTTAACCAAACAGAAGTTTCCTGTTTAATTTATACTTTTTTCTGTCAGTCCCCTGAAAAGTGTAAAAAACGGGATTCACTGTACAAATATTCGATCACATTTGTGCAAAATTGTAACTGGCAAATGCTTTTCTACAGCTACTACTTATTACTGATACACTAAATGTGAGATGCATTCTGCCTCAATTTACAATCAAAATATTTTTGTAAAGTTCAAGTTGTATTATTTCTACACTATGAAGCAAAATAATAACTACTTACATTTTTCATACACTTTTTCAGTTCAAGTGCTTTCAAGTGAAAAAATTTTGAGAGTTTGGTGAGGGTAAATAAATACAGTATAACTTCATGTTTTTCAGGGGACTGAAAGAAACTATATATATATATATATATATATATATATATATATAGTATATATATATATATATATATATAGAGAGAGAGAGAGAGAGAGAGAGAGAGAGAGAGAGGAGAGAGAGAGATAGAGACAGAGAGAGACACACAGAGAGAGATAGCGAGCGAGAGACACACAGAGAGAGAGAGAGAAGAGAGGAGAGAGACAGACAGACAGAGAGACAGCAGAGACAGAGAGAGACAGAGAGTAGAGAAGAGACATAGAGACGAGAGCAGAGAGAGAGAGAGAGAGAGAGAGAGAGAGAAGAAGAGAGAGAGAGAGAAAGAGAGAGAGAGAAGAGAGAGAGAGAAGAAGAGAGAAAGAGCGAGAAAGAGAGAGAGAGAGAAGAGAGAGAGAGAGAAAGAGAAGAGAGAGAAGAGAGAGAGAGAGAGAGAGAAAAGAGAGAGAGAGAGAGAGAGAAAGAGAGAGAGGGGGCGAATGTATGACGGACTGATTGATTTTAATTTGCTTTTCTCTGCACCTAAAGCATACATTTCGTCTTCAAGTTGAGATAACTGACCCATAATCACCCATATTACTCAATTCCTGCATATTTCATACAAATACAAGGGCTGTTTGATACGTTTAGTAAAATTGGGTCTTAAGAGTTCCAAGAACGAGAACCAGAAGAGCTGCTCTGTTTAAAAGGGCTCAGATCTCGATCAGGTTTTTGTCCAGTTTCCCTGATCCTTGAGCAAATGCTGAAATGGCCCCTTGTTTTGTTTCTGAACATAAATGTAACTTCAAATTAACTTCTCATGTGTCTATATAACTAGCATACCCATAAACTAAACAACAAGTACATAGAACCAAACACAGATGTAATTGTTCTCACTTGCTATCAGCTATGCTATTATAAAGTCATTGTTCTGTCAGGAGTTTCATTATCGACATATAAATGTAAAAACAAAAATGTAAACTGTATATCTGAAATAATTTAACATGGGAAATATAAGAATGTAGCTGGGATTTATAAACAACAATCCATAGACGAAGTATAAATGAAGTTTTACTGTAAAAGTAAAGGAAGTTAAAACAAAACCGAACGGTAAAGTAAAAAGTGAATAAATCCTTGCAAAATTTCTCAAGAGAGGAAGTATGAGATTTATTCTCATGAGATCACTTTTCTTTCTAAGGAAACTAATTTAAAGATCTGTTATATCTACTACCCATTTACCAGAATATGAGTCAACTGAATATATGATGACTCCCTTAATTTTGAAAATGCCACCTGAGAATTCTTTAAATTTATAACTAATTCTCACCTTAGTCAAAATAAAATTGCAAATTGTCTAATTGACTAGAAAATTGCTGTGCTGAAGAATATGTTAAAAACTGTTACGTGAGCTAACACTATTTTCTTGTTCCTTAAAATGATCATCATTATTGTTACACATATAATTCTTTTCTGTCCTGTATTGTGATGTTTTCTGACATTTTAAGCCCTACTGAGAACATTCCCTTCTATTGCCAGATGTTTGTCCTGTCCTGTCCTGTCCTGTCCTTGTGTTTGTGACCTCTCGATTTTTTTAACTGTTCTTTCACATTCTTATTCACATTCATAATATTCTTGGAATACAGAGCTTTTAATGGTTGTGTGATCTGCGTTGTGAACTGAGAACTCATACATCTCTGTTCTCCCATTTTATGGATAACATGGGTAATGGCGACAAGTTTCTAATTTTGGAAACTTAAGAGTTTTTTGATCATCATTTTCAGTGGTTGAATGTAGAATGCTTACTTACATGATTATGGAATTTTTCATTTCCATCTCTCGCAAAACAGTCACATTCATAGGGCATCAAACAGACTCTACACAGCCTCGTCATGGATTGAAATCTCAGCAATGATTTTTACTTACTTTCCTTTCATACAGTGCAAATCATTTGAGATTCCCTTTCCCCACCCATTAAAAAACATTGGCCTGAAATGCCTTACATATTCATGGTGGATACTGAGAATATGTCTGCAAATATAATTAGAAATTACGGATATGCAAATACCATAGTCTGCAAATATATAACGACCCTGTACTTTTCAAATGAGATATTAAGAGAAAAAATACAACCATTTTGTATTTGGGTAAATAAGATATTTCATCTGGCACACTACATATGAATTTATTTATTTGTACGAATGGAGATGATGCTTCAATCAATCAAGTAACCAACACAAAAATTAATGTTATTTGTAATTTTAAGAAAACAAATTTAGAAAGACTTAGAATAAGATTGCTCTCATTCCATCTTCTGACACAATACATATTGTGACACAAAGCATAACTCACTTTCCTCTTGGATAATCATCACATTTTTGTTTTCCTCAAAGTACATTCCCTGAGAAAAACATTTCTCAATTTCAGGAAGATTTAAACCGACTTCTTCCATATTGTCATCATGAATAACTGTGAAATCCATGTGAAACTATCTAAGGCAGTATTTTTGACAACTGTTCAAAATAAGTAACATTTACTTGATGTTTCATAAATTATTGTACGTATGTAAATTAATTTGAGCATCTTTTATTCAAATTTTTATAATTATTTTCAAACGACTTTCATGAACACTTTTTAGGATCAACTTTACACTAGTTGACAAAATTTAATTTTTCAAATCCATGTTTTATCAGTATCATTGTCAGAGTTGTATCAATATAGTTAAAAATTATTCAGTTTCTCTCCTCAACTACTTTTAGTTTGTTGCATAATCATGATGGTTTTTGTATTATGAAAAACTTTACATAAATAAATTTTCCCTCAATAAGAACAATAAACACCACAAATCATTTGAAACTTTTGAATGAAGGAATGGCTACCAGATATTTTTAACATGCAAAAGAATTAATAATTTAATGTTGGTAAATATTATACATAAATTTATCATTTAATGCAGACACTGCAAATTTAGATTTTTCTTATGTTTTTCAGAAAAATCCAACAACAAAGTATTCAGATTAACTTACTCCTACAAATGTTTTTAAACTTTCTCTAGACACTGTCTTGCTGTTGAATTTCATATGTAACTTATACAAAATGTAAAACTGTCTTTTAAAGAAGAGTGTGATGTATGAATGAAGAAAAATAAGTTTTCAAAAGCAGAACCATGACAACAATCAAACCCATAAATTTGGTCATCAAACCTACCTCACATGCACAGGATGAACAGGATGAGAAGGATGAACAGGACTTGCAGCCACTGTGCCATCCTCAAACACAGGATTATCCATTGAATATGTAGCAGGCGGAGGTGATTTTGACTTCTTAATACTCGTCAGACGACGCATCAAACTCACAGCCTTGTCCTTCTTCTCCTTTCCCTACAGAATTTGTTTCATTAACTTCTTGATAATAATGCAATAAAATTAAAAATTTAATCTGATTCTGATCTAATTTAAGCACAATCTTTACGACATGAAACCCCACTCAAATCTGGGCTCCTGTTTAAGATTGTGAAACTGCAAAGAAACATTTTCACAAACATTTGCATCACCAAAGATCAAAGGTTACAACTAGAACCACATAAACATAAAGGACTCACATTCAAAATGCATGCATAAACCCACTCACTTGTAACTACTCTCCAGGTTCACAAAAATCTTGCTGTGAACAATAGACAAATATACTTTAATTACAGAGTACTGGGTTCTCTTTGATGATAATCTTCGGGATTTCTTAATATTTCTTAAACATAATTGTTAGCCGTTTTAATGGCTTTAGAAAAAAACTAGATATTATATATGTCTCTTGAAATTATTTATGTCCCTATACAGACACCAAAGAATTAAATATCCCTTTAAGTTAGAGCTCGTATAAATATGACTACCACTGAATTAATTCCCATTTCATCTGATTACTATCAATTTTCATTCTCTGTAATAGCGGTGGTAATCATTAAAACATACACAAATAAACAGGCTTCCAAAGCTTCTCAAAGGGACATTTATAAAAGGAAAACTATATTGCCACACCTTTTCTCTAGGCACAGGAGAAACAGTTGAGATGCTGGTATTGGGCGGAGCAGCAATCGCACTGGCAAGCCCCGGACCAAGCACTGCACTCAGACTACGGCCTAGTGGCGCAGCTGACGTGGGAGCAGGCGAGCCCACAGCAGCTACATCAGGCACAGCACTTGCAGAACTTGATGCAACCACTCCTGCTGGCTGCCCATGCCATGATGAGGACACTCCGGTGAGAGCGTTGTGGCTGGGGCTCGCTGCACGGGGAGGAAGCTCTGGAGGCGGAGGCTGCTGCTGCTGTTGGCCGCCTATCCCTACAATAGAAACAAAGCAGCTAAATACAAAAAGTGCACTAGTAAACAAAGCATATTAAAACAGCAATGGTTGAATTAGTTGCTAAAGTAAATTAAATCAATTAAATAATATTTGCAGCTTACACGTAAGTATCTTGCTGGGCTGCCAGAAGATTATATTTGAAGCTAAAAATAAACAAATAGAATCCAAATCGAAAATGATTTTAATAATGACAAGATATACATATAGATGAAGTTATTAAACATAACAATCAACAATTGTTAACAGTTAGGTAGGATTTATCTTACATTGCATAAATTTATACCATTTGGCTTAGCCTTCATTGTAAATATACACATAACTTGATATTATAGTAACTTTTTTGAAACTATCTCCATAGTTCTCTCGCATAAACTCCTGAAAGGAGTTCATTAAACAAGCTACACTTGATACAATAATTATTGATGGTAAGGCCAAAAATGTTAATTAAATTAATAAAATGAAATTTATAAATAAAATTATTAATAGCAAATTTGGAACTTATTCTCATAAAGAACTGTTTATTAATAATTAAAAGGTCTTATATTTAACATAAAACATTTAAACATTTTGCGACACAGAGAACTCTGTAAAGTCTATTTCAATTTAAGTAGTTATGGTGCAGAAAAGATATCTCAGCTTTTTAACTTGACTGTTGTAAAGATAGTGTGGTGGTAAAATACTGTGTATACCCACATATAAGACAAGGTTTTTTGCTAAAACATTTCATTTGAAAAATTCAGGGTCCTTTTATATTCACAAATTAACCAGAAACGGTTTAGGGGCTATGTTTTGCATTGCCTTTCCATCTTAAGGAATTCTAACACTGACATAACAATAAACTGCGAAGGTGATAAAAATCCACATGTATCCATCCTAATCACCACTAATTATATTCATTACATAATACATTTTCATTATATATCCACAGCATTAAGCCACCATGCCAGGTGATTCAAACCATTATTTTTAAATGGGGTGGTAAAGAGATATTACTCAAATGAGTGGCATTGTCGTAAGGAACATGCAACATGGAAAATAAAAACATTGTCAAGATTTTTTACCAGAATGAGATTCATGAAGCTCTGCAGACCCTGAGTTTGATGCCCAGGAAGTACAAATCTGCACTCATCAAGAGATTTATCAAATTTAATTGATTATATTTTACATCCAATCACATGAACAGAATGATTAAAAGAAATTCCTCACAAAGCATTCACAAATGTTGAAAACTTGTCACCTCTCTCTCCTGATACAATTCCATCAATACAGTTGCAAGTAACACTACACCCTTTTGGATTCATGTCATCTGAACAATACATCATTGTACTTACACCAAAGTCCACTTCGTCCTTTTTTGGTACATATCTTCCCCTGGTTTCTCCCCATAAACATAATATATTATGATACAGTGGCCACCAGTTTTTCAAGTTCTTGATTAATGATGTTTGAACTTGAAAGTAGTTCTACATCTTGAACTTAAAAATGGTACTAAATATTGAACTTGAAAGTGGTACTTTGATTTCCATCAGATGATTAATGTTGTGAAGCCTGTCATCCTTTCTTAACGCACATTTCACCATTGAGAAGTCCCTGTTGCAAGGAAGAAATACATGCCCCCTTAAGAGTAAAAACTTCTATCTTCTTGAACGTACCAGTATCGATGAATACAAGGTAGCATTATTCTTGTTTGAGTCTGCACAATTATTAGAGAAAATTCACTTCAGTAATTTTAACTGTGCCAGACACGAGGTAGTCATACACAAATGGGCAGTACATTATCACAGTTCTCTCTGGCTGTGCCTTGATGGTAAATATACATTTAGGATGATTTCTTTTCTACTTTCTTGCCCTTAAGACGGTACTTCTTCAGAAGAGAACGTTATGTAATGCTGTGGGGAAAAATTGCGAATTTCCGGCAGAAAAACTTTTATTGCTGAGCCCTGGTAATGAAAAAGTAGATGAACAACAACAATCAAAAAGACACAACAACAAAATTAAGCCATATAGAAAGAAATTTGAAAAATAAATATCAAAGATAATATCAGAACATTTGGTGTCTGAACTTTTTCTTAAAGTCCCCCAACTGAGCAAACAAAAAGGTTCCAGATATTGAACAAGAAAGTCCCAGACGTTGAACATTTTTGCTTGCCGCTAAAAGTTGAAAGACACCTACAGACATCACAGAAGCATTAGACATTGAAATATTATAAGTAGAAAGTTGTATTTATGTATTAAGAACAGTTTTCCACTATTTACACAAACCTTGAAAATATGTGACTTCAAACCCATTTGTTTGATCCACTTCATACGTAGTAAATGACTTCTTTTAACTTCTGTAGTCAGAATCCATGTTTTGAGAGTCCTTGATACTCAAAAATTGGTTAACAGCAAAAAAATATGTGGTCAACACTAGCGCCTAATAAACTGATCAATTTTGTCCAAAACTGACATTCTCTGATTGATTTGAACAAACTTAAAACCCTGTGAATTTGAAATGAATACTTTGATTTTTGAGAGTACACTATATGAAGTCTTACCAACATTCCAAAATTTTCTCAAAAATGGCTCCAAATTTTTGGATTTTTTTCTTCTTTTCAGAGTAAATGACACTACAAAATTGCAGATATTTCATTTTTGTTGAACACACAAGATTTTTAAAAAGACTCATTGAAAAAAAAAAACAACAAAATTTGATGCGGAAAATAACTTTTATTTTTCCCAAATGAACGTTAAATAAAGTTAAATTTAATCATTTTCATCGCTACTGGATTAAGTCAAATAACCCCTGATTCATTGTCACTTTCAAAATCGTTGGAAACATTCCATAATACATCGTCTTTGGTCTCGTCCATCTTCTTTGAAATGCCGCACACTTTAAAACTTTTCGCTTGAAATCGAAAATCCATTGACACGTCATCACCATGAGCTTCTTGAGATGTCCGGATGGAGTCATGGTTTCCTTTCGTTTGACCACGTACGATACAAGCGTTGCATGTGTAGTTTGAATGGTCGCTCAATAGCCTCATCCGTAGTGGAAATAACACCATGGTCCATGGTGGGAATACAGAGTTTCCTGGCAATTCGGCTGCCTTCGAACTGCAGCATCTCTTGGAGAAAGGCAAAACCATTGCACCGGGTTCCTGAACGTATTCCAACCATTCTTTTTCAACTGCTGGGTATATATATTTCTTGCCTCAAAATGCACATATATTGCAATTGGTATTTTCCATCACGGTTTTGTCTTGAATCGATCGTCTCACATTCTTGTCATCAATGTCGAATTTCCTCCTGGCTTTACTGTGTCTTATACATGAGAATTTTTTTCTTCAAATTATTGTGTCAAAAAATGTTAATGTGGCTATACACGAGCAAAAATACAGTGTTTTTATGTAATTGTGTGTGAAATATAGTAAATTTTTATAAAAAATATTTTCTCAAAAATAATGAAACTTCTTTCTCAGAGGAAAGGATGCTTTAAAGAATATAGCAGGTCTCCCTCTCATTGAACATGTCACAAAAATGGCAGAATACTAACATTGTAAAATTACAATATCAATGAAAGATTTTTTTCCTTAGTGAAATGTCATAAATAAACCGCTTTCTTTAAATAAGGTGAGGAACAGTTTTTTTTTAAATATATAGACATTCTTTTTTAGCAAAAGCAATTTAAAAAAAATGTTTTCTCAAAAATGGCTCCAACATTTTTCATCAAATACGGAAAACCCCACAAAAACAAAAACTGTACATGTTCCATTTTGTTAAACTCTTAGAAAATTTGAAAATAGCAAAAATTAAAAATAATGTGAGAAACTATGTGTTGTAGCACCACTAGGTTTTGTCTGTCACTTTTCTTATGCACTGACAATATCATTTTGGGATAGAAAAACTGGAGAGCTGCTGCCTTCACCTCATCAAGTCCTTGGCAAGAGTGTGTGCCACCAATTATGGAAGTTTTTTGACACAGGTGGAGAGGTTTGGAGTAAAGAACAGGCCACAGTACAGCATCTTTCCATGGAGATCGGCCATGCAGAGAGAACAAGATACCGACAGACTGTTGAAATGTAAAATGCAATTCAAACACAGAAGTTACCAACTCCAAAGAAAACCGATTATCTTTTTCAGAAGACAACTGATATAACATTTAATTTTATGTATATTAACAAGCTCATGTATGCTTAATAAACACAAAAATGCAAAATCTGTAGCCTAATCATAATCACACACAAGTTGATTTGTATGTTCTATCCTTCAAAAAGATCCACTTTCTTCTGTCTATATTGATGAATTTTTATACACTGGGTAAATGGATTATGAAAAAATCAACCTGTTAAAGTCAGACTATTGTTTCACCAAATAAAGTACGTGGTCTTCGGCTAAAAAGCATTAAAACATTTTAACCAAGAGTTAATTTTTTCAAGAGGTATGCTCACCATTTAGTTGTCGAGGGCTATATGGCATTAGAGTGGTGGATGAACCAGATTTTCCCCGTGCATAATTTGAAGCAGAAATCCGAGGCTCTAAAGGCGGTGTTGCACCACTGGTACCACTTGCTCTTGGAGAAGCAGGACCCGTGGAAGAAGTAGGAGGGGCACTGGTTATAGACACACGAGTTAAACGTAACTGTGATAGTTGAGCTGGAGGAGTCCAAGTACTGGAACAAAAATGGCATTGCATTATTATATAATCAGTCAGATCTCTAGATATTAAAAAAATATGTAAATGAATTTTAAAAAAGTAGTGTGTGGCTATGTGTGAAATGCGCACCTTACCAAAACTTTCCTCCTATTAGTATTACAATTATTAAGATTTTCAAAAAAATGCATTCCATCATTTAAAGATCTACAACTGAACGAATTTATGCATAAAACATCCAAGTCCCCAGAATCATTACATTTCACAAAGGTCTTGGAAATTATAATCTTTGTACCTCAGAAATCTCGCTAATTTCACTTTGCTTTTGCTAACATCAAACTTGATTGTTCCTTGAAGATAAAATAGCAAATGCTTAAAATAAAACTATCATAACATGTATAGTAAAATAATAGACAAATTACAGAAGGTAGGTGTTAATTCTAATAATTCCAAGCTATTATTGAAATTTTATGATTATTCCATAAAATCAGTTAATAAGAGCAAGTGATAACATATGTAGGGCCATTCATTTAAAGCAAAAATAACAAAATTTGATCGCCGAAAGGCCCAAACTACTTTTTTAATGAGAACCCTTCGCATTTTAAATATAAACAATTTTGCAATTATCTAATTGCGAGAGGCTTCAATGAAAATTGGACAAGCTGACAGAGTTATCACAGCTTGCACATCCACATGTACGTACAGGCATTCCAATTTTTCAGGAACATAATTGCCTCTCCTCTGTTCCAATGTTTTTGGAACAGTACTAACTGACCTTAATCCTGACCTGTTTGGAGTTATAGCTCAAAAGAACAAAGATTTCACAACTGAAAATTCAAAATCATATTGTTGAGGCGATTCAAATAACCTTTCCTCCTTGTACAACAGAATAGGAAGGAAAAATAAAAATTAATGTTCATTTATGATAATGCACCATCTTCAAATGATTTTAAAAATCGATCTTCAAACGATTTTAAAAAACAAACATTACAAGTCATGAAAATATTTCAGTGCTGGTGCCGCCCATGGCACAGTATCTACAAAATATTACTATACTTGAGCCAAGAACAGTAGAATCTCACTAATCCCATATATGAGTCAGGGCAGGCAGTCAGGCAGATAGGCAGAAAAATCCCTTTCTCATGTGACCCCACGTCCCAGGGAACACATGAATTTCCCTTGAAATCTCGAATTCGATTTTCTGCATTATTACATAACTTTCCCTGTATTACATCTCTTTTTACTCCATTTACACATACGTATACAAAAAAATTGAAAGATGAAAAGGAAAGAAAGAGAGAGAGAGAAAGAAAGAGGGGGAGAGAGAGAGAGAGAAGAAAGAGGGGAGAGAGAGCAGAAGAAGAGGGAGAGGAGAGAGAGAAGAAAGAGGGAAGAGAGAGAGAGAGAGAAGAGAGAGAAAGAAAGCAGGGAGAGAGAGAGAGAGAAAGAAAGAGGGGAGAGAGAAGAGAGAAAGAAAGAGGAGAGAGAGAGAGACGAGAGAAAGAAAGAGGGGAGAGAGAGAGAGAGAAAAAGAGGAAGGAGAGGAAGAAGAGGGAGAGAGAGAGAGAAAGAAAGAGGGAATCAGAGAGAGAGAGAAAGAAAGAGGGAGCGAGAGAACAGAAAGAAAGGGGTAGAGTAGAGAGACAAGAAGAAAGAGGGAGAAGGAGAGCGAGAAAGAAAGAGGGAGAGAGAGAAGAAAGAGGGAGGGAGAGAGAAAGAAGGGGAGGGGAGAGAGAAAGAAAGAGGGAGGGAGAGAAAAGAAAGAGGGAGGGGAGAGAGAAAGAAACGAGAGGGAGGGAGGAGAGAAAGAAGAGGAGGGAGGGAGAGAGAAGAAAGAGGCGAGGGACCGTAGAAGAGACAAGAGGCGAGGAGAGAGAAAGAAAGATGGGAGGGAGGAGAAAGAAGAGGGAGGGAAAGAGAGGAGAAGAGAAAGAGGGGGAAGAAAAGAGGGAGGGAGGAAAGAAAGAGGGAGGGAGAGAGAAAGAGGGAGGGAGAGAGAAAGAGGGAGGGAGAGAGAAAAAGAGGGGGAGAGAAAAAGAGGGAGAGAGAAAAAGAGGGAGAGAGAAAAAGGGGGAGAGAGATGTAGATAAGAAGGATGAATTACTGCTGCACAGTTAATATTTTTCTTCCCGTTCCAAGCTGTCAAATCCTGAAACCAAGCCATTTATTGGTATTTGAAAATGTGTTTGACATAGATCTCCTTAAATAATGGCCTCCAGGTCAAGTATTTTGCATAATTTAGAGAGTATCTTCTCCTGTCCGAATTTCAAAATTAATGTACACATGAGTAGACTGATCAAAGCTGTTTTCAATGAAGTGTGTGTTTCTGTAGTTTGTTAAATTTTGTGGCATGCTTCACCTTTGATTAGTTTTGCGTTAGTGCATGAAACTAAGATTTCAATCATTTCTTAATCAAATGAACACTCGCGAATTTCTTTCATGCTAGGGCATGCATTCCTAATATAGTTACCTATGTAGTCAGTCCATGCAATTAATGAATTGTTATGTCTTGGGGTTTTCCTTTTTCTAGGGGGCTCCTGTTTTTGACATTAAAATTTTGTTACATTCTTTTTTTCCTAATGAAAAATGTGTAAGATATTATTACCTATATCATAATCCGAAAGGGAACCTCTCTTAATTTGCAGGAATTGTTTACACTTTTGCTACCATAATAAAACTGTTTGGTTGTTAAAATGTCCTCATTAATTAATCCTTGAATTCTTACAAATTGTGCTAACTAAAAATAAAAATAATGCCTAACTTACTTTTACACAGATCATTACTAAAGTAATGTTGAAGTTACATAATGGAATACAAATTCCACACTCACTTTGCAGGAGTGACATAGTTGCCAGGGAAGACTCCACATTTCTGTGTGCGATTGGATGTACCTTTGAACCAACCATCTTCACATCGCTCTGTCACTAAATAGACACCACCCTTTTTCAATTCCAATTCATCGGCTTTCTGAGGTTTGTATGGATATAAAGCTATATACCTGTAAAATTCAAATTACAAATTATTCATCACAGATGGGAGAAATTTGAACAAGCAAAATGGTTTAGCAAATGTAATAAGAAAAGCATGAAATAAAATTTAACTCATAATTTATTGAATTAAAAAATGTTTATAAGAAATGCAAAGAAATACATATTGTGAAATGGATCATGAAAATATGAGAATTTTGAAATAGGTATTTCTACTTTAGATGTTTATTAAATAACATGTTTTGTTTGATACATTCAACTTCTTCCTAAAACACAACAGTTCTATGTGAAGACTGGCTCTGAGATCTCATGATGTTAACAGTTTTGTATTTTGAAGTTTTAAATATTTCAATTAAGAATTTTCTAGGAAAAATACATAAAGATTCAGTTCTTATCCCTTATCATCAGCAAGTTGAAGGAATTGATCCACTACCACGAAAACGGACACCAAAAACTCTTGGAGAGGTGGTATTTTGGAAGGGAGAGGAATTATGAGAGAAGGAATGGCTGACTCCTAATGTACTCATTGGGAAATTATGAATAATTCTTGCATGGAAATTAATAAAACTTACAAACTTTTTGCTTAGGTCTTAAACACATTTCTAATATTCTAGCTTGTGGTTCAGTATCCCACAAGTGAAATGTCTACCAAACTGCATGTATTTTTCTTGCTTTCAACATACATTGTCCCTGGCATTTTTAAGCAAAGTAACTTTCATATTGGTAACAATAAACATTTTACTACACATTTTCAAGTTGGGGACAAGGATAAGGCCTTCAACCTTGGTGATTAACAAATCATTTCTGAGTCTGACCAGCAAAGAATTACCAACAAACACAGTCATGCATGGCCTACAACAAGAGGAAGGGAGGAGGGGTGACCAATGTTGTTCAACTAACCTCTAAATTGTCTAGTTAAAAAAAGGATGAAAATAAGGAGTTACACATACATAAGGAAATAAAATGCAGTATCAGGCACCCGTATAAGGCCTCTTTCAAAATGTTTAGGGAAGTCATGGTTCTCCTGCTCCCTCTCCACTCACTCCTTGCGTACATTTATGACAACAACTTCCAAAGCACTCATTTCCTCACATCCAAACAACATTCAAAGATGCAATTGCCATGAAATTGTATGTGAACAGAGTATATGCAATCATGAACATTCAAATTCAGAATGCCCTTGTGTAACTTTCCTTCACACTGCTCATTGCAGTACATGAAAAATAAATTGGAGAAAAAAATATCAATAAATATGAAGCTTATATGTGGAACAAATAATTGTTTTTTATTCAGAATTGTAAGAGAAAAGAGCATTCAAGAATAATTACAAAAATCTTAGAGATTTGTTTTGTGGAATGACATGACACACAGAATGGTACAACAGCACATACTTTGTCGCATTATATGTAACTTAATAATTTTTGAAAAAGCAGGGAATGCAACAAATGTTTGACTTGCACCATTCTTTTAAACATCTTTTATACTATCCAAGGACAAAGTTTAATCCAAAAATTTGGAGCCATTTTTGTGAAAATTTTGAAAATATTAAAGCTTCATGTAAAGTCCCCATAAAATCAAAACACCTGTTTAATCTGCAATTTAAGTGTCAGGTGGCCTGGAGCTCTTTTAAATTTGATCGAGGAATATAAATTTGGAGAAAATTGACTGAACGGTTTAGAAGCTCGCATTGACAAACATGTTTTGTTGTCATTTTATATATATTTTTGGATAAAAGTTGAATCATCACTTTTGAACTTTTGGGTTGGCAGAATGACAGCAGATGAAAAATCTCTTAGGAACAATTATAAGATTTAATTAATAATTTCAATATGAATTATTAATCAGAAAACCTTATATTTGTAAAAAGCATCCTATAGTGGACAAACAGCGATTTGTTCACTATTGGCATACCAGCAATTTGATTTGTACACATTGTAATAGTGCAAATCCTATACACACACGCATGCACACACGCACGCGTGCACACACTCACACACAGGGAGTAAACTTTAATAGGCAGCTTACCTTTAAACTGCAAATCAAATATGTTATCAATAATACAAGTAAATCAATTATGTACTTGCCGAGGATGGGAAGATGATTTAAATCATTCAAACCGTTTCTTACTTCTCCAGGGGACTAATGAGGTCAGAATATGCCTTGATTGGCTGAGTGCCAGATATAATTGGTTTCGGTATGAATTATCCTTCGAATGGCATCGAAACAAAATTTTATTATTTAAATTTGATTTAAGAAGCTTACAAAAAGGAAGAAATTTCCAACAAATTATTTTTTTGATTAAAATTTTGTAGAGCATTATACAAACACCTTATTTATTTTCACACATTTTATTAGTTTCCTCGATTTATTCTACTTAATACAAAACAATTTTATATTCTGCCTGTCAATAGATTATGCTGCTAAGGCCTATATTATCAGCTATGAAGAAATTAACTAAAGATTTTGTACTGAATACTAAAATGGATATTTTTGTAGACTATTAATACACTCATTACTGATATTACAAACTATTTCAAAACACTTTAAAATTTGTATTGTACACGTGTCATAGTCCTATCATTGGGGTTTAACCTGCTGGACTTTGTACAATCATTAAAAATAAGTTAAAAAATAAAAATAAATAAATTAAAAAAATGCACATAAATTGAAAAGTAAACAAGATGCAAAATCTCAAATAGCTTCAAGTGCCTCTAAAACACCTAACATTTCTTAATGAAGTATTGAATTCCACTGATAATTTTTTTTTTAAATTATCCCAAACATTAAGAATTTATAATTTCAAAATTATTGTGATTCCTCCTGAAAATTATCATCTAACACATATTACATGGAATTTATGAATCTCATATTTGTCATTTCATTCTCTCCTTAAACTTTGAAATTTCAAGGCTATCTACAAAGAAAAATCTACAGGGTAAAGTCAAAGAATTATTCCAAAATTTAGGACATTACATTTAAAAACAGAAACAGAGAAACTTAATAGAGAACCAAAATTATAAAAATTGCTTAGCTATGTTTAAATTGTCACAAAACAACAATTTCTTTTTTTTCTTCCTTTTTTGTCATTATGAAATATATTTAAAAACAAATGATAAATTTATTCTGGCGATAATCATGTTTTTATAAATATCATATAAATTACTCTGAAAAGGGTATATGAAAAACTTAAAACATCAAATGGATAGATACAAATCTGAACGTCTGAAAATATAGAACTCTTTAAACCTTCAATAATGTTTGAAATAAAGAAGCATTCCAATAAAATTCTATTGACAATTTTGAAATAATAACTTTTGGAAGAGATGTCATTTAAGAGTGTTTTCACAAACATTGGGTTACAGGAAGTTCAAGATATTAAAACACGTCACAGAAGAAAGCAAATATTGATTGAGTGATTGATTGATTGATTGATAGTGATTCCGGACACGTCAACAACTACGGTAATTGGTTTCGTAAGCGTGGTGCATGTTTTTGCTCGGGATGTGACGGTGGTCTTCCTTCGCTGAATGGCGAGATCCGGCGCCGAAGTACCGTCGGCTAGCGGGGTTTTCCAAAATCAGGAATCGCCCACCGCCGGGCCACACGCTCAGACAAGCTCTAAACTCCCGACATGTCTGGTAGTGTAGTGCATGTTAGTGTAAGTGTGGGAGTAAGGGGGGTGAGGATAGGACAAGGAAGAGGTAGGAAAGATCGCGCGCGGTCCATGGTCCGCTTGTGAGGGTGCTCTGGCATTCGCCTCGAGGTGATCGCAAAACCCACAGAAAACTACCAATCAGAGCAGACTGTCGCTACGGCCACTGGAATTCTCCTCCAGACAGCGATTGAATTCGACCTAGCTGACAAACTAGTGTCGACATTCCCGCCACCGTCGGGTCTCGAACCTCGTACCACCAGGTCAGAGGCACTGCAGTGATAATACTTGATGCCCTGAGCCATCTCTCCCTGTACGAATCTTCGGTGTGGGATGATTCTGAAATTGTTCGTAATGTTTTGGAGGAAATTTAAGGAACTCCTTAGGTTGTTACTATTTTCTTGTCATAATTAACGAACAACGTAATTATTTTAATTATTATTAATATGAATTAATTATATACCACAGTACCCTCAGAGGGGAATTCCTAAACAATTTTAACTTCAGCAACATATTTATTAAGTTTCTTCTTTGGTAGAAAACCAATGAACAATTAAAGCAAATCCAATACCTAGCCAAAGCGACACAGACCAAGCATATTGACAGGATTCTTGACAGTACAATTTACCTCTGAGCTTTTCTATAATGTGTATTTTCTATGCCCAATTTCAGAGATCATGAAGGATGTGAGGAACGTTAACAATCGAAAATTTTCAAGATGAGAATGGGGTACTTGACATTGGAGAAATGATGGCAAATGCAGCAGGAATCATACATTTCAGGGAAACCTGTTACAAATATACTTTTCTCTCCCACATGGACTCACCCAGATTTGTGTCAAAAGATGAGAAGTCTGCAAACTCTCTCGCATGCTACATGCAGATTCCCCTAAGTCTGGACAATGTTCTCGCTTCCAAAGAACTAGAGTGATGCCATCATCCCCCAGCTATGTCACACCATACTTTGCACCATGTGTAAGGGAAGGAAGCGTTCCACTGTCGTGGGTCTTGGGCCCCCACTTTCGATCTATAACGTGACCCAGTCTGCAAAGGAGACCCATCTACCAGGAGGGCTCCACGGACCGAGGAGTCTCATTTTGCGACGCCAATTTTAGCTGGGTCATACGCCCCCGATGCTTCTGGGCAGTAGCTAATGTCCCGTGAGCGCTGCATGCGTAGTCCATTACGTTTTATGATCTACCCACTGCTCTTGTGCTTCGATTATAGAAAAGTTTACACACACGCACGCATACCCACACACTCAAGCACCCCCCCCACACACACACACATATTGGGAATCCACCAATCGCCGCCCCAATGAGGTAAGCACTCGTAGCGAGCCAAGCGATACGTACGCGGCAGGAAGATGGGTGGAGGAGGCAGCGGCGGGCGAGCCCAACCCCACGCCCTGCGGAGGCGGGACCGTCACGCCGGAGCCCAGCTTGTCGCCGCCGCTGGCCGTCCGCCGATGCGCTTGCTGCTTGGCGCTGCAGCAGAGGTCGGGAGCGGTGGAGCTGCGCGGCGCCCTGGCCCGCCCGCGCCGCCCACGCGCCGCCCCGACGCACCCGCCGCCGCCGCGTCTGTGGTGCTCGGACCCAGGCGTCCGCGGCGCACCGCCGCGGGCGGCGCCTCCCGCACCGCGGCCGTTCCCGCTCCGGCCGCGCCGCTCCGGGACTGAGGATTTCAGCGGAGTGCGGTGGCGAAGGGGCGGGCAGGTGAGCCGAGTGCAACGCGCTAAAGCTGTGGACGCTTGTCGGGTGCTGCTGTGCGGCGGCGACGGGGCGCGCGGCGGCGGCTGCGGCTTGCGGCGGGCCGCGGCCGCTGCGCCCGCGGCGTGCGTTTGGGCGACGGGTGCTGCGGCAGCGGCTGCGGAGGCGGCTGCTGCGGGGGCGGGGGGGCGGCGGCTGCTGCAGGGCGGTTGCTGCTGCTGCTGCTGCGGCTGGGGGTGGATGGGGCTGCGGGCCGCGGCGGCGGGGACGGGGGCGAGCTGGGCCGCGTGCTCGAACTGGACGACGTGTTGTCGACGATGTGTTAGGGAGTGGTGCTGGAGGAGGAGGCGGAGGAGCCGCTGGAGTGGACTTCGGAGCCCGTGAGGGAGCCGGAGGCGGTGGCGGCAATGGACGACGGCGGGGGCGCGGTCGCGGGCGGCTGCTGCGCCTGCGTGTGCGTGTGCGGCGTCGTGGTGCTGGTGATAGAGGGCGTCGACGCGGGCGTCGGCACCTGCAGCTGAGGCAGCGGTTGTTGTTGCGGGGGCGGCGGCTGAGGCTGCCCCGCACGTGGCGACGCCAGCGCCGGCCCCATGCCCAGTACCGGGTGGCCCGTGCTGTGGTCCGTGGGGATCAGGGGCGTCGTGTCTTCAGACGTGGGCGTGGGTGGCGCCAGGCGCGACGGGCCGGGCTGCGAGCTAGAAGCACCGAAAGGCGTGTGAACGCGGTAATCCTTCACAAGAAATGTTACCGCGGCCGGAGTCAGTAGCTTTCATCCAGAATTTAAGAACAGTAGAGAAGACAGGTTCCGCGATCGGTTTATTTTTGCTTTGACGGTTGAGAAACAAATAAATTCGTGGCTCGTGAACTGGAAGAAATATGACTCATGATATTTGATGCACAGTACTACTAAATATCAGAAGAAAGAAACTGCTCGTATGTGAATACAAAACACGTGACCGCAAAAAATAATTCCATTTCCGAGTAAAAGAAATTAACACAGCCTGTTAGAAATCAACAAACTGGACGAGTACTTTTAAAACACCGTAACTTGCAAAAGCTCCAATTGATCGGAGCGCTCATCAATTAGCCGAATGTCGGTTTTAATCACTTAAGGTTTCATGTTTTAACCATAATCAATTACTAATTCATACACAGACACGAGTCACACTGACAAATTGACCACTCTTTTGGGATGTTAGAATTTCAGAACAATAAGAGATCCGTAGATATTTTAAACACTTATTAGACTACATTTTTTTTATTAGAAATGGCCTAGGTTTGCAAATAATTAAACGCGACACTAGCATAACGACACATAGATTTAATTAGTATCCGACGGTCGCAGGTCGAGGTCGAGGTCGACGGTCGAGGACGTACTTTCGCGACATGCATATGCATGTATATTGTTTCCGTTCTACGTTTCGTGGAGTCACAAGCCAGAAGATTCAGCCCAATTTCACGATGCGCACATGCTTTCTCCAAAACATGAATTTATGCTGGAGGCTGAATCTTACTTGGCAAAACGATACATTATTGACTTTCTCACATGCCAACCAATGGATCATATAATTAATTCCTCGCGTATTTTCCTGTCAATTTCACTTTTTTTTACCACGTTAATCGGCATTATTATTGATAATATTTTTTAACACAAAAGCAGGAAATTGATTAAGAGAGGTTGACAGATCTAAATCCTAAAAAAGAAGAATAGATATGACGACGGGTAAGAACACAAACACATTTTGCACATGTTTTTCATATTCTTTAGCCAGCACCACTTTCTTTAATACATATGCGGGACAAAATTGAAGAAAATATTTGGAGCAGTTTTTAAAAAAATACTTGTTTTAAAAAAATTGGGGGCAAATTATGCAAAAATTACTCATTTTTGAAAAATTGAATATGACCTTGTCTTAAGATGTTTCAGATGAACACATTTCATTAACGGAAATATTTTTCTTCATAATTGTAGTTGCGGGAAGATTGTCGAATCAATGTCAACATTTGCAATTTTCGAAACTTTTGCGATTTCAACAAAAATGAGACCTGCGCCAATCTCTTAACAGTCCTTTACGCTATCCGAGAACAAAATTTAATCAAAAAATTTGGAGCCTTTTTTGAAAATTTTGAAAATATTGTAGCTCCATGTAAAGTCGCCTTCCCCTGCAAAAAATTGAAACATTGGTTTAAAATTTAAGACGCCGCGAATTCAGCCAGATCGTTCGGGAATATTTTGGTGAAAATACTGCGTTCGGTTTAGCCGCGCGCTAATGTGTAATAACATATTGTGCTATGTGGACATGAAAAATACTCTTACTAAATTAATAATATTAGCATCTACTCATCATCGATTTCCACTAGACTCTGTCGGTCGCTCAAAACTTTTTGGTGGAGAAGGTGTTCAGGGGGATGTATTTGACTATTTTTTGAACATCGTTTATTAATTCTTACAAATCTGTCAGTTAAAACGTAATATTATCGGACCCAAGTTTGTTTTTTGTTTATTTGTTCATTGGAAGAACAGCTGAGCCACAAACTTTCTTGAAAGCAAATCTGGACTTGCCTTCCCTTTTGCCAAGAATGAGTACTTGATAAGTCCATCAATATGTAATCACGTGGCACGAGGTAACCAAATATTCTCTATTATATGTTAGCTGATTTCTTTGGAAACAGTCACCAGGCTCACAATGATGACTGCCAGGATGAGCAAGAGACATAGTTGCCTTCTTAAAATTGTTCGATCATCAGGTTTTGAAGTCTATGATGTCCTCAGTGTCCTTACTGTTGTCATGAAGCCTTGAGGCGTTTCCTAGCTGATAATACTAGTTGTTCTGTGTAAGGGTTAGAAACCACGCGTCTTTCTCCTTTCCAACCATTATAATTTTTATAATTAGAACACATACTGTAAGCTAGACAGTTTCATTTTTACACTGACCAATAGCTTGAAGATTAACAAAGAAAATTTATTTATCAACAATTTTTACGAAAAAGTGTAAACGACGTAAGTGTAAAGTACGAAAAAGTACTTATTTCCTTTTTAAAATCACCGATTGAATTAATACGAACAAGGAGGTGATGTTGTAGCACCATTCATTTATTTTCGTTTTCTGCCGTTTCAGAACATAGATGTATCGTATGAAACCATTTACCGGCCCACGGTTCGGTTTATGACCTACAAGAACTCGCCACCATGTATGCCTAGTGAGCGCTGAATCTGAATCAAATGAAGACGATTTCATCACACATAGCAGCAAGTTCTGGATTTGCGGAGATTTGACTAAAACAAGTTTTGATGAGCATCGAGTTGCACAAATGACCGTCAAAAAAGACAACTTGAAGGAGTTACGATACACTGATCTCTTAAGATAAGTATTACTTCGATATCGCCAAGAAGCTGTATTGCAATTGATTATGAAGATGGGGTTTTTGTCGAAAGTGCATTCACCTAACGTTATAATAACACGTGTCCTACAGTACAATCTTCACTTGAATTCCTCGATGTGCAGATTCATTTGTCATTACCATCCCAACATTAATTTCCATATGCATGGAAAATAATAGAATGCCAAAGACAATCTGTACATACGATGGAAACTCATTTGACTGACCTTTCAAGCTTAGCCAATTGAGTAAGAAACGAGGTCACACAACACCCCACATTTGCCGGGCATTCCCAGAAAGCAATTACACACAAAAGCGAAATGTGCAACATTCATATCAAGACTTGTTTGCAGATTTAGTGATATCTACACAATGCTATTCGTAAAATAATTAGAAAATAAATGTTCACACATCGCTGTCATACTTCTGCAAGTGTACATTAACCGGCTTTGATGGTATAGTGGTTATCATGGCGGGCTACTGATTCCAAATTCGTGAGTTTAAACCCGGTCAAAGACGGGAGGGTTTTTGAGGTGCCAAAAATCGACGGCATGCATGCAGACACTTGTCGGCATGTAAAACAGATCCCAGGAAAGGCACTTGGCCGATCCTGATTGGATAAGATAACAGATATTGTACCAATATCTTGGCCTGCGCTATCTAGTATTCCAGTCAAACGTCAAAATTAGCTCACTAGCGTCTCAGGTGAAAGCAATAACAAACTACCCTAGGTATACTTGCTCAGGTCTCACAAAAAGGTGCTAAGGAAACAAGCCTACGCACTAATCATTGCATGAAAGAAGAATAAGAAACGTACATTCAGGAGATCAAAATGGGTCTACAAATTAAAAGGTGAGCTTTAAACTCCCGGAGCATATATTTTAAATATCACTCTTCGACTCATTGCGATGGTAATGACACCTCAAATTGCAACCGAACAGCAAGGATATAGTGTTTTCAATTATGGAGTAAATATTGTGTACTGATTCTAAATATTATACGCGAGCTAACTAGCTGAATCCGTTCAAATACGCCGTAGTACGTTAGTACGTCAGTTTCAAAAATGAAAATTGCTTTTTATTCTCAGGGCTGTGTCAACCCTAGTGCAAGCAATGCACACAAACAAGGGCATTTGTGTGAGAATTTTGTGTGTGACAAAAATTTAAGTATTTAAACATCTGCATTATTTTTATATTTTTATTTTAAACGAAAACAGGCATTATTTACAAATATGACGCAGAAAACAAATACAATAGTATAAAATAATACGTAAAACAATTATCGGAGATTTCATCAATTTCGTACAACAATATCGGTTACTTTTATTAGTCATGCAGCAACTGTGAAGTCGTCGCTCGACTCTGATTACGAAATCTTTAATATATCCGCGTTTTGTTTACAAACAATTTTCGACGTCTTTTTAACATATACTTTCATTTCCTTCATACATTCTATCATTCCTTCTTGCAGGTTTTACACGACTCAATGGCCACATGCGGCTCGAACAATACTCCATAGAACAAAAATATGAAAAACACGCGTTTTGTTGCTAGAATTCTTCCAAAATGTCCTAGAGAGAATCGGTTAAGAATTGTGTTAATCGATCTGATTTCTTGAGAAGAATCGAAAGTTATTGATCACCTTTGCCCTGTAAGTCACCCACAACGTCTTTTGGTTCCCTAAAATAGTAAAAACAATTTTTAAGAGAAATTTCTCAAGCCCGGTATACACGGTACATTTTTCGTGTAGATTATCATACAGTTTCTGTACAGAAACCTCAAAATCCCAAACTGGAAATATAAAAGCCAAAGTCACGCATACACGGTTTGTACGTTTTCTGCATGAATTCTGTATGAATCGCCACAAGACGTCGCTAGAGGTCTGCCAGGTAACAACTGAATTGCGTTGTCCAAGTACTTTCAATGGCGGTATTACCGTGAGTGCATTAGACTGTGAGAGCTTCATGAAGTAGTAATTAACCATGAACTCTGAGAAGAAAAATAGAAAGGAATGGAAAAGGACGGAGGTAGATTATCAGAATTTCATGTCACACAAACGCCCCTTGACATACACGTTTCGGTGGTACTTCACATAAAGCCCCTGGGGCATTTTCAAAAATATGGCTCCTGATGTTTTGATTATATATTGTTGAATGGTGCAAAGAAAGATTAAGAAAATGGTACAGGTCTCATTTTCGTTTCCATTTGTCGAAAATTGGAAAAAAATTGAAAACTTCAAAATTGAAGAATTTTGTCTCAGACGTGTTGTACAAAATTAGCTCTTTAAAAAAGGTCATGCACAATTTTTTTGAGAA